ATAAGAAAGTTATAATGACGTGTCGATCCAGCCTGTCGTTCGTTCGCCATGCTCCAATTTCACGCACAGCGCATCCAGTAAACTATCACGTCGTTTGACCCTCGTTGGCAGTACCTTGTACAGACCGAGTTTGTAGTCGAAATTGCGAAGGTCCATTGTCATATCGCGGACGAGTCGCACCTCTGGATGGGAGTGGGTAGTCACGAACGATTATATTTCCATCGGCGCCGACCAGAACAAGTACGCCAACGACATGGCTGTGGTAGTGCCCTCGTCCTTTCTGTGAAACATGTTGTGTGCAGTGGCGTCAGCCATACCCTGCCACGCACAGGTGGGCCCTGTAAAGGACCACCGAGCGCCACCGACGTGAATCAATCAAGTTGTTCGTGTTGCAAGCGGGGCGGAAATTGCTCAAAGTTAACTTTTGTGGATCCAGTTACGACGGAACTGAGAACCATGACGAGAAGCGCTGGCACTTCCCCAATTCAAGCGACGACGCCACGACGTTCATCTCGAGTGAAGTCGACCACGACGGCCGCCAAAGTCGGGAGCGAGACCGAGGACGAACAGAAGGTGACGGAACCTGCACTGGACCCAGAGCGTGGGACCGCGTCAGTGCTGCCGGCCGGAAAGAAGTCCCAAGGTCACGGTATGGAGTCTCGCAAGACTGAGGATGAGAGAAGATGACGGAACCTTCGCTGGACCCAGATATTGGGACTGCGACAGTGCTGCCGACCGCTAAGAAGTCCAAAGTCACAGGATGGGATCTCGAAAACTTCGGTTTGAAGTTCCAACCTCGTCCCCAAGAGTATTCAACGGCCGAGAAGCGAATCGGCGCACACTGGGAAGTTTTGCCTGCACATCCGCTTGAAGGGGAATACATCGAAGAAGATTATTCCGACGAACATGAGAGGAGACAAGCGGAAGCATAGAAGAAAGAAAGAGAGCGTGAAGAGCGGTGTAAAAAATGGAGTGGACATCCTGACCCGCCCTCGGACTGCTCGATAGAGCGCGAAGAAGAAGCGGAAACTGGGAGCGAGAAAGTATCAAGGCTGAACGACGCCGGTACAATTGTGAGGCCTAGCCCAGGAACTGCAAAGACCTACGGGACTATGCCCAGGAAGCACAAGATGACATGTGCAACGGCTGGCGCCCGAAAGGGACGACAAAGATGAGGCGTGTTGGGGAACGCTGGGGACAAAGCCACCCACAATCGTCGGCTGGAAACCTATGAGCGGACCAGCACTGGTTGTGAACGACATTCCCTGCCCTCCGATCACAACAATTGATCGTGAATTCCTCGTGCAGTGGAAGCGCAAACGCGAGAAGTATGAGGACAAGTTGAAGGCTATCGCATAACGCTTAGGCCACAACTGGAAGCGGACAGAAGTTGGCTGGATTGCTCAAGTCATTGCGGCGTAAATATCCCCCAGTGATCTGCGTCAACGGGTCGAAGACCAGGTCAAAGCGATTGAGGCCGGCGATTTGAAACAGTTTGCAAAGGTGCTGGGTGAGCAACTCAAGAGAACCTACTAGGCCGAACTGGTGCTGGGACCTCGAGGATTCACAGAGCGCAAGCGCGGACGAGATGTCAATGAGCCCAGCAGCCGAATACCTAAACGACAGTTGCGACAAGAACGGCATGAACGCGAGGTGCAGAAGTGGCAAGAAGCTCGAGGCAACGAGCCGCGACCCAAGGGAGGCTATGGCAAGCCTGTACCGGTAGTGCGAGGATACGTGGAACGTCTACCGCCAACAACATATGGAAACGCAGCGACCAAGTATGGCACGCATGTGTCCAAGGAAGCAGAACAACCGGGGAAACAACCTCGGATGTTTACGCCTGGTGTTGGTGAGCGTGGTCGACTATGCTTCATATGCAATGAACCCGTACATATGACTCGAGCATACCCCAAGAAGATGATCGATTGTGAAGCGTTCACAAAGTTGCAGAGAGCGCGTAACGGGGTGAAGCGTTTCAAGGCCAAGATGTGCAAGGCCGAATTCATGGTCAAGCGTGTGCGCAAGATGGAGGCGACGGGATTTGACGGCAGTCAAAGATGGATCCGGTTGAATCATCTGTTGGACGCGCTGTATTGCCCTGACACTGGCGCCGACCAATACATTATACAGTACCCCAGGCCATGGTGGATGAATTGTCGCTTGTGCAACCAGATCTTTTGGTGGTCCCGCTCAAGGAGCCGATGGTTGGTGTGGCGTGCAATGACTCGACTTTTGAAGCGCATGCCTTCGTCGATCTCACACTCAACCTCCAAACGGCAGCAGGACCCGTGAAGACCCCTGGAAATCGCCTTTGCTATGTGGTCCATAGTGGCGACGAATTTCTGGCATCCGATGATACGCTCAAGGCAGTGGCAATTGATATCAACCGACTCCTGGAACAGGTGGCGACCTTACAGCTGGACAATGGCGACGACTTGGGGGAGGATGGTGACGCTCTTAAGGAGCTGTCCCATTGCTCAACCGTCCGGGCCAACTCGGCCATGCTAGGACTACCTGACGCCAAGGATGCCGTCGAACATTTCCTCCAAGAGCTTGTCGAGGAAGCCGTGGGTAACGGATTCCCCAATGAATTTGTGCAACATTTGTGGCGTGTTCTGACCAAACATGACACTTGGCGCGCGAAGTTTGATGGGTCCGATCCACCCGCGCGCGTGAAGCCATTAAAGGTGACGCCTAAGGAAGGTGTTCCGTACCGATGTAAAGGTCGGAAGCACAACCTCCTTGAGGACAGGTTCCACAATTTGTTTGCGCGAGTTATGCGACGCGGGGGTGATCCGGAGCAACCAGCAGAGTGCGTGGTGTTGCCCAGTCAACCCGGTCATGAAACCCGAAGGAAGGAAGAAACTTGATAGGAGCCGACCAGTAGACTGATGAGGATGTGCTGCGACACTTCCGGCTGACTAAAGACTACCGTGTGGTCAACTCCCTGACCGAGCAGAAGGCAGGGACGATGTCCTTTCAAGCGACCATACTGCAAAATCTCCGAGGAAAGCAAGCGATGGGTGTCTTCGATCTACCCAAATGCTTCTGGCATTTTCCCCTTCACGATGACAGTTGGGACATGCTCTCGTTCATGCTGAACGGATGCGTCTACACATCCAATCGCGTGATGCAAGGACATGTCGATATCGCCTTATACGTCCAGTCAACGAACGAGGAGTGCTGCAAAGTTCTGTTCTACAAGAACATGCTGATCTGGATTGACGACACCTTTATTTTTGCCGACGATGCGCCGGAGTACCTCGACGCGTTGGAGAAGTTCTTTGACCGCGTTGACCACTACGGGTTCAAACTCAGCCCAAAGAAGACCAAGCTGTGCACGAGCGAAGTCAAGTGGTGTGGCCGTGTTATTAACGGCAAAGGTGTGAAGCAAAATCCCGATCGCATTGAACAACTCTGTGCTATCCCATACCCGACGAACGCTGGCGAATTCCACCAATTTGTGTGCGCGGTGAATTGGATGAGAGATTCATTGACGGAGTACGCGCAGACGGTCAATCCCCTTCAGCTGTGCCTGAACAAGGCGCTGGAAGGAAAAGGCACGAAGAAACGCATCGCGTCTGGAATTCAGGTGGAATTGTACGACGAAGAAAAGCCAGCGTTTGATGCTGTGAAGTTCAAGTTACGACAATCGGTAGACCTGTCTCACCCACGTGATGACGATACGATGTGTTTGTTCACGGACGCAAGCGATTACGGCTGGTCAGTTGTGGTTACCCAAATGGTGTACCTACAAAAGCGCCTGCCCATTCAATAGCAAGTCCACGAGTTGCTAGTCTGACAATCGGGGATGTTTGTAGGTGCCCAATAGACTTGGTCGGTTATCAAAATGGAAGCGTACCCGATTGCGCGTGCGTGTGAACGACTCGACTATCTGCTCATGCGACCCACGGGATTTCGAACGTACTGCGACCACAAGAACCTCATCCATGTGTTTGCATCTGGCGAAGAATGGAAGGCACACACGGGTGGTAATTTGATGCGGTGGGCGGCGATCATTGCTGGCTATCGCTACGAGATCATTCATATAGATGGAGACCACAATATATGGGCGGATATGCTCAGTCGCTGGGCCAACCACAAAAGGACATGGTGGCAAGGCTAATGCGTGCACGACGTAGACACCGGTGGACCAAGAAGTGGAAAACACAAAAGCCGCTAGGGATCTCATCGCCGATCCCTAAACTACGACCTGTCGATGACGATTTCGTGTGACCATGTCTGGACGATATCAAGAAGGCACAAGGCACCCACTGCAACTTGTGACCGACGACGGCGACGATGGTCGACAGTCTATGGAGAGTGAAAGGCCGATTGTGGATACAGAGCGGTGCGAACGATCTGATCCAACGGATCATGATTGTCGCCCACTGCGTCAGCATGCGGCATCGAGGCCACGCTGCGCTGGTAGCCTACTATCAGGCGCCTGTTCTATCTGGACAAGCTCAACGAACGCGCTAGTGAATTCCTGCGTGGCTGTTTATTGTGCCCACATGCGAAAGGGGGGAAGGTTGTACATCGACCCTATGCTCCAAGATGGCACGCAACAGAACGTAACGAAGGAATCCACTTCGAATACATCTCCCTTGTAGAGGTATGTAGTGGTGCAAAGTATGTGTTGGCCCTCAAGTATGACCTGACGCATTTTTGCGAATTGGTGGAGTGCAACGGACCCATGTGCCAAGTGTGTATCGATCGATGCCCTAGTCGATTGGTCAAAACGGTTTGGAATGCCGAGAGTCTGGTTCAGTGACCAAGGTGCTCATATTAAGAACGTGGCAATGCGAGCACTTGCGTACAAGCTTAAGGTCATGCACGACTTTACTCTGGCATTGCCCCTGGTGAAATGGAACGGTAGAACGAGTCAACCGCGACATATTACAAGACATGCTGATCTTGCTGAGGGAGTACAAGTTGGCCCAAGAAGAATGGGAGTACCTGCTGCCTGTTGTACAAGCGAACTTGAACCAAACACCGACGGCATCTTTAGCCAACAAGTCACCCATGGAACTGTTCACGGCTTTGAATCCTGCGACTCCAGTGGATGTTATAGTGATGGGCGATGAACGGAAAATTTGTGAAGTCCAGTGGAAACACGGGGACATAAAAAAAATCTTGAAAGGCTGCGTTCAAGTCTACATCAGATGCACAAAGAAGTGATCGACAAGAATGACAAGCGTGTGACGAAGGCAGTGCAAAAGACAGAAAGTTTCGAGAACTGCAACGTCGAAGCTGGAGACTACGTGCTATGATCCCGCGTTGACGAACGATACCACCCAAAGTTACTGGTGAGGTGGATCGGGCCGTATCGAGTCAAAGAAGTTGGCGAGTACTCTGTCTTCCTCGAACACCTCATCACGCACGAAGTAAGAGAAGCGCACACGTCACCTGTCGAAATGTATGCCGAGTCAAACTTCGAAGTCACGGAAGAGATCCTGGACCAGGCGTCTGAACAAGGGATGGTGCTGAAGGTTCAGTCCATCGCTGGACACAAGTTTGTCCAGGATGTGACGGACTTCATGCTAAAAGTCTTGTGGCGTGGGTTCGAAGCGATTGAAGCATCGTGGGAACCGCTGAAAAAGCTCATGGAAGAATGCCCAGCTGTGGTCATGAAGTACGTTGAAGGTGTGAATAACGCCGACCTGGCGAAGGCAATCAAGCAAGCAAGCAAGCGAGAAGCGCTAGAAGACGCAAAGGCCGGACCTGTCTGCCAGGACATGGCTTGGGGGGGGGGGTGTTGTGTGCAGTGGCGTCAGCCATACCCTGCCGCGTACAGGTGGGGCCTGTAAAGGACCACCGAGCGCCACTGACGTGAATCAATCAAGTTGCACTGAAACGTCCATTGTAGAAGAACGACGATTACCAATAGTCACTCAAGGGAGCCCATCAGGACGGAGTGTAGAGGCAATGGTCGGAAAAGCTCACTCTTAATTTTGCCCGCTGGGCAGCAGTTCAACCAAGTCAGTGATTCACGTAAGGCAGCGCTCCCCTATCTGGTCGTTCGTGTTGCAAGTGGGGCGGAAACTGCTCAAAACAAACACATGAGGTCACGGGCCCGTTGGAGGGGTACAAGTCACCTGACAATTAAAAACCAATGCCGCAGTGGTATCCGCGTTGTAAATCCATTCGAAGAGTTGATCTTACAGTTAGATGGAATGCCCGGGGAAGTTTTCGCGGTCGATCGGGGCGCGGTAGTACGTTATCGACCGAATCCTAGTGTCTTGAATGCTACTCATGAGTTCCGGCAACGTCAAGACCTACGCCCATCATGTCACGACGTTCGTGTTTCTGCCAGGAGATGAGATGTCAAGATACATGGCTCGGGTCGACAGTGATCACGGCCAACTCGTTGCACAACAGCGTGAGCTCGTGCCAATTCTCAAATCTGTGATCGGAAGACTTCAAGTGGTCCACCCGACTATTCGTATTCCCCCCACACGCAATTCGCGGCCATCTCGACCCCGAGCGCATTTTCGCGACGAAGTTGACGTGCAACAACAAGAACGTGTAACTTTATGACGACGGCGCGCTGGGGGTGGAGGTGCTTGTTTCTATTGCAAGTGATATTTCCCTTAAAATGATTAGAACCAACACCGAACGTTGTAGCCACATTACGAGACGATACTGTATGATTTGCAGATTTCCCGGTTGCCCCTTGAGAGTTAGGATTATGACCACCAGTGTATGCCGACGTCATGGACCCCGCTGCTCATTTCATGGTCGCGACACCTCCGTTTGCTCTCGCGGCCTCTATGCATGGTGGAGCAAAAGTTTGCGATCACGATGGCTGCCTGAAGTTGGCACTCCATCGCGGCCTTTGTAGTGCTCATTGCGTTGTGACGCTTTGTTCAATGCCCAATTGCCAAAATCGAAGCTACCAACACAAGCTTTGCCACAATATTAGTATCTTTAATTGAGTGAACCCTTTATACTCCTTTGCAGGTGTATTGAAACTGGAGCTTGCGCAAAGGACACATCGTATTGTTCTTGGCGACGGAGATGATTAGGTACAGTGAACCCCGGAAAAAGGCGACCACGTCCAAAACATGATTTATTTTAATAAATTATACCACCTGTATATTTCAATATCACTTCATAATTGTCATTCTTTTAGAACAATGGTAGTGCAGATACAAGAAAAACTGTGATTGACTGACTGAAATTATTCTAGTTGTATAGCCAATCAAGTTGGACTAACTCATGTAATTTAAAAAGATTGATTTTATTCTTCCTCTATGCATTTTCAGGATGAAACCATGTCGTCCTTTTCCAGGGTTCACTGTAGTGCTGACAAAAGGGCCAAAATGTTGCTTTTCTACTCACGAGAGGCATTAACTTGGATATACTGAGCGACTGGTCACAATAACTTCGCGATAAGGAAAATGCCACCAATATGCACGAAAGAGACAATACCATACCAAACGTACGTTAATGAAAGACTTTGCCGTCTAGGTGCTCATCCCGACTGGTCGTTCCTTCAAATCCACTTCTGTGAACGTTCTTGTACCACCTTTTCGATGGAAACAGAGTATGCCCTGGGTTAATACTGTCCAGATCAGGCGCATTTCGGGCAGGTGTTTTGACTACAAAACGCTCTCTCGGTTTGTACTTGTTCGCCAGGCGAAAACTGTGGAGAGCCATCGTGAGCACCACTCTTACCTAAAACAGTGGTACTTCTTGACGAGCACTTGGACACGGCGCGCTTTCTGTCGTTGGTACATGGGTCATAGTGAATATCTCCACCGACTCTTGGAAAGCCTCGTGCGGCGTTGATACAATGTAGGGCTATGACGGCAATGCGGACGAAATTGTTCTGTGCGCAATGTACCCAGGAGATCCATTCATAGAGAAGTTTCAACTGAAATAATCCTTGTAATGTTGGATGACACTTCTATCCCTAATAGAAGTGACTTGTTGCGATACTTGCACGGTGTTGCATATCACCTCGTGGGATGAATAAATACAAGGAAAGGTCTATTTCAAGTGACCTGGTAATATGCGGATCTTTATGGTTGAAGTACGCTCTTGCATCCTTCACTGACATATCTTCCCCAAGCACCTTGATACCTACTACCGTTTTCGTTGTCGTCGAGAGCAATCTCCATAAGCACAAAATCTATCTTCGACGAACCAACCCATTGGACTGTTTGAGGCATCGTGGCCAAAAGGGGAAAAAGTTGGGAGAAGCTCTCAAGCCTTGAATATGTTGATGTCCAACATCTCGTGTTTGCAGGCTTGGTCGTTAACACCTACCGTGAGTCGACGAAGTATTACAGTATTGTCGAGAGCTGTCAACGCCATGTCGTCATGAAGCTCCTGTAGTGCATAGAGCTAATGGGCCTTCATGTGCGACTTGTCAGCCAGAGTAAAGTGATGACGGCACGAACTACAATGGAAACTGACAAATTTAGGGCCAGCTTTCGATTGACGGAGCAGTTGTCGGTCACCAGAAAACAAATATTCACAGTTTTACTTCCGTAAAGGATCAGCATGTACTCCGAATGTTGTTGAACACCGTGCATGTCAACAGAATCCGATGATGTTTCATCCTGAAATGCTTCATTCGACACCATCTACCGAGATATAGACAATAACACTTGTTGTAATTCGCCATGCCGAATGTAAAGAGCAAAGTAGGTTGCGTAATACTCGTTGTTCATTGAGTAACCAGTCGAACGTGATGTCAAAGCTTCCTGTCTGTTCAATGATGATAGCTCCT